AGCCCATTGCGTAGCTTTGTGCTTAATTACAAACAAACAAATAAAATGGAGACGGCACATAGAATCCGGTTCTGGACTTCTACTTAGTTGGCACATGCGGATCAGAATGGTGACATCCCCCTCCTCCTGGAAAGGATGTCAGTCTATTACAGTTTAACTCCCAGTTAACAGCTGGTACCCATAATTCAACTGGATAGACTGGAATAAGTGGGCGGTAAAGTTTTTCTTCTTGTTCAAGGACGCGAGCTTGTAATTATCACGCTGCCCCCAAGTTAAATCTCTCGGAGGGTAGTCACGCCTAAAAAAAAATAAGATTTTAAAAGTAATATCCACGTAGAAATTAATTGTTTGTTAAAAACCACCCTCGTTTAAATGCTCCACCTTTTAGACAATTATCAACCCTTGCCTAAGTGATTCAGTAATAATTAGGATGGGTGTTTAATTGCATCAGGGCTGTAGACAAGCTTTCATTTTGGGGTGCTTTCCTCCCTGGAATGACGTCAACATGTGCAGCGCCACCATGTAGAAAGTGCGGGATTCATCTATACACTGTACACAAGTTACAACAATGAAAATCCTCCATCCCCCAGAACAGTGGAGTCGTGCCCGTAGGTCATGGATGCCCCTCCCTCCACACACACACACACACACCCTTAATACCTTCCATATGCTGTTTTAATAATCCCAAATCCAGGTATATAATCATTCAATTAAATATTTTAAAGATATTTGTCTATATTTGAAATCAATATGTTAATCAAAGCAACAATGAAGGTTTAATAATATGACAAGTAAAAAACACTCCACTTATCGTTTCTATGATTCTTGTTATTAACCCACCACTGATAACAAAAGCACTTTGTTTTCTGACTGTACCCCCCAAAAAAACTTTAACTGCATGACGTCACTGCCCCAGAACATCATCATTTGAAAAAAGAAAACACAAAATGTTACCAAACTTGTCAAATATTTTTCACCCTCACCCAAAAGTCTATAGACCTTTACAGAAACAAAAGGGGGGGGGGGATACTTAAATTCATTGACGTCATGTATTTTGGTGGGGGGAGCCTAGTTAGAAAATCTAGTATTTTTCATTATCAATGGTGCATATTTAATGCATTCAGGGGTACTTAAATATATATATAGCTTTGTTTATTGTCCTCACAAGCACGCGTATTTAAAAAATGTGTTTATGTCTAGCCTCCTATCACTTAAATATATATATAGCTTTGTTTATTGTCCTCACAAGCACGCGTATTTTAAAAATGTGTTTATGTCTAGCCTCTTATCACCTAATATATATATAGCTTTGTTTATTGTCCTCACAAGCACGCGTATTTAAAAAATGTGTTTATGTCTAGCCTCCTATCACCTAAGTTCCAGGGGGCGCATATTTCATTTATTAAATTCAAACAATACATTTTTATTTAAGACTGGCACTACCTTTCCATCTGCAATACAAGTTTACTTTTTTGTTTTTTTATTTTCGTTACGTCCCCCGGTGGGGCATCGGTAAGTTTACGGACTTACAACGCTAAAATCCAGGGTTCGATTCCCTGCGGTGTATACAGCAGGTAGCCCAATGTAGCGTTGTTCTACAAACAAACAAACAAACACAAATGCAGCGAAAAGAAACTTGTGTAGTATTTGTTGACAAACAACGACTTGTAAGTATAATAACTTGGTTTTAATTTGGTAGAATATGCTACACGTTTAGACATAACCTTCAGGTAAAAACCACTTCGTTGTTTCTTAATTCACTAACAATATACTTCCTCTTACTAGTCGCGGTGGCAAATAAATTCAAAAGTAAAGTTAAAAACTGCAAATAAAAATTCTGATTAAACCACAGAGGGCGTTTCGGTATATTTTGTACGGAGATGTTTGTTATGGATTTCGCGCAAAGCTACACGAGGGCCGTCCCTACTTTAGCAGTGAAAGACTAGAGGGAAGGCAGCTAGTCATCACCACCCACCGCCAACTCTTGGGCTACTCTTTTACCAACGAATAGTGGGATTGACCGTCACATTATAACGCCCCCACGGCTGAAAGGGCGAGCATGTTTGGTGGGACGGGGATTCAAACCCGCGACCCACAGATTGCGAGTCGAGCGCCCTAACCACCTGGCCATGCCGGGCCTCGTACGGAGATCTAAGGAACTGTATAACTGATCAAAATATTGTTGAACAGAAAATTAAAAGGACGTTTAAACTGTAGGAGTTTGTACGGAGGTCAAAAAGAAATAAATATTAGAGTTACCAAATAAAGAGATCTAAATTAACCAGAATACAAACAACTAATATAGTCGTGAAACTGAAGGTAAAGTTTGTAGAATGAAGACGGCTCTGTACAATCGTAAATGTTATTAAAATCGACCAATAAAAT